AAAACCCTATAAATCAACATGGCGGACAGAAGGGCAGGTCTCGCGGGGGAGGTCTCGCGAGAGTTGGAAATGAGTTCCGGGAGCTCTCGCGGGACGTAAAAACGAGTTTTCATTTCTCGGCTTCGTGGACAATGCATGGACCGTGCAACAGTTTCGTACCACTCAAAGCCCTCGAAAAATGAAACACTATGAAAGACTAAGCCGGCCAAAAATGAAGAGAGGATTTTGCTGAGAGGATGACAAAGAGAGAAGCTCAGAGTTATTCTTCTTACTTCGTTCCAGATGTGGGAAAAACGTTCAACATGACGGCAGGCGATCAGATAATAGATGAGCGCATCAGTAATTGGGTAGTAACTCAAGGTTCTGATACTAAATCACACACAAGCCAGCCTTTTTTCCATAGTCATTTTTCCAAATATTCAGTCACTAAACAGATACACTCATCAAAAACAAGAGTGCCTCACCACTATGTACTGTTTTGTTTGGATGTTGAATAATAAAAACACAGGTTTGAAGGAAACATTGATTTTTAGGTTCTCTAAAGTTGCAGTTGAGCAGCAAACCCCCCTCCCCAAGCAATTCCCTCCCCTCGAAAAGAAACTTCTAGCCGCCCGTAGAAACAGACGCTGAATAACTAGAATTCTGTGTTGGAGTTGAAAGAATATTTAACACACTGCGCTATCAGCGAGCTGCTGTAGTATTATCTCTGCTTGCACATGTTCAACTGTGTGGCCCAAGGGCTGATAAGGGAGATGGGCGTCGCCCTGTACACCATAAATAGTGGGGACAGTATTTTATCTGACTGTATCAAAGTCTTAGTTTATTGTATACTGCTGCCCAACAGGGGCTAAATGCATCGTGTTAGATAAGTGTAATAGGCAAACTATGCTATCATTCATCTATATATATGATGTATATACACTGTCTCCCTTCTTGAAACATATATAAACGACGTTACACACTTGTAGAAATCATATTGTAGTTAGATCATGATATTACAGGTATGAAACATTTTGTCGTTCGCAAAGCTTTGTCTGGAGGTATGGCACTAACAACATATCAAATTAAACTCTCGAAACTGCCTACATTCATTCTTTCCTAGAACTCGCTGTCACCAAGTACAGCAGGGGCATTGTCGTTAGATAGCTTTAAACAATGTCTAGAGTTAGAAGTTCAAGGGTTAGGTGTAACAAGTCGATCGATGTAATGTAGCCAGCTGCCGCCGCGCCGCGTGCCTGCGAAGCTGGTGTGTTACGCCGAAGTTATACCGGCTATACAGATACAGAAGCTGGTGTGTTACGCCGAAGTTATACCGGCTATACAGATACAGGTACAAACAAAAAGTTAGTTTTACATAAAACCGTGCGCGTCCAGTGGCACAGGCGTACCGTCGCGAATACGGTTTATCTGATGTATGAATGGGCTTCAGACGGGCCTAGCCCAAATCCACCCGGCTTACTCCAACTCGCCGTCCTGTCTAGCCCACCAACCAACGCACGGAACCACACACGACTCCCCACGCCACCACTGAGCTCGGGATTTGAAATACCTTGAACCACAAATTACGCATTCTCTTTGGTTGCAGCGTGTTCACCGTCTGGTTAGTAAGATAGAGAGAGTGGCCCTGTTTGAAGCTAGTTCTTCTGTGGAAGCTACTAGACGCTGTAATCTGTGTAGCGTTGTGTGTGCTGCATGGAGGTGTGAGGTAAGCGCGTTTGTACTTTGATGTTTCCAAACGCCTTTTGAAAAGTCTTCTTTGAGACTTAGGCTCGTAGCTTTCGTCTTTTGAGAGGTCTAATTTAAGACTTATACCCGTAGCTATTACCTCCGCCAAGGAGTTAGTATCTCTATAGGTTCTATGCTGCAGTGAGCAGAATAAACCATAGAGGCTGGGGAAACCATAGAGGGGATTTTCATCCTGAAGTTTGTGGGTTTGTACGTGCTAGCTAAGAGTCCATTTTTTGAAGGAGCTGACAGCAGACAATGTTGAAGGTTCTTCAGGAAGTCTTGATCATTGCGAGCCATAACAGCAGGTGTTTTTACATGTGCATGGCCCCTTTAAGTAAGTCCCGGCTTGGCCCCTGAATATTACCTGTAGAGATGTCAAGCAGTCCCTGTCATGAACTGATATTCGAATCTGTTCATTTCCGCATATTAGCGCGTAGCGGTTGCCTACTAGTAGGTGTCTGTAATTCAGTTAAGTAAAGTACCAGGTGGGGCATCGGTTAGGAAATGTGATGGACTGTGAAAGACTGTGTCCCCATTGACTTCAGACTCTTCGGCGCCTGTTGTGCCTATCTAGTTCTATGCTTGAATCGGTTAGGGTTAGGGTCAGGAATGGTGCCGGGTAGTATCTACTAGTATTATATCCAGAACCATGTCTGTATCTGTATCTGTATAGCCGGTATAACCGCACACCAGCTTCTGTATCTGTATAGCCGGTATAACTGCCCTTCGGCGTAACACACCAGCTTCGCAGGCACGCGGCGCGGCGGCAGTTGGCTACATTACAGCGACCGACTTGTTACACCTAGCCCTTGAACTTCTAACTCTAGACGTTGTTTAAAGCTATCTATTGACAATGCCCCTACTGTACTTGGTGACAGTGGGTTCCACTCTGTGATAGTTCTAGGAAAGAATGAATTCTTGAACACCTCAATTTGTTGGTTGATAACTCTGGTACTTGAAGGCATGGCTATTTCTTGTTCTCTTTTTGAAATGTGACTAAGGCATAACCAGAGCAGTCTACTCATACAGTCTTCTTGATGTTTCAGGTGGCTCCTTCTTCTGGATGGTTCGTGTCATCACATCAACATGGCGACACAGCAGTTGCAGACCTACTGCCGCTGGATTGCAAACTGAGGCTGCAGTTTCTGAGACATCGTAGACCTTCTGCTGCTGGATTGCCAACAGGAGCTACAGGTTCGCACTTCAACACTGAGTGTTCAAGTTGCCTGAAAAGGCTGTTACGTTCGTTCACATCCGTCGATGATTGCGTTTGATGATGACAATGACCGCTCGTTCAATGACCTCCCGGTCCAACTCATCTAACTGGTGATTCAGAAAAGTTGACTGCTGTCTTCTTCACGATGAAGATAACGGCCACCTTGCACTTTCTGTCTCTTCTTGTCTTCCCTTTACTCTCTATAATTGACTTCTCTCTACCCGATGCTGAAACAGAAGGTCAGGGAGAATCGCCTGCCCGTAACGACTTGCAAATCGCTCGCGTGTGAAGCTGGCCCCGGGCGGGAGGATTTACGCGTGCGAATTTCACGGTTTTCCTGCGAGAAGCCATGCATCATTTGATACTTGTCTCCACGGTCTTAACGGGGATCCTTTTATCGCCACCTGTTAAATGTCAAGCGAGCGGTAATCCGGGGCCTTTAGGTCCCTGGGCGCAGACCCTCGCTGTGAGCGCGGCAGGAAATGACGTCCTCGCGCGCGACGGGTTCACTTCCGGGTCAGCGGTGACGCCGAACCGCAACAGGACGCTGCACCAGGTGGGAACCCGAGATAACGGCGCCATGTTGGCGATGACGTCGTCCGCGAGAAATAGAAGGAGCGCGCGGGAGTTTTACGGCGTAGTGCCTCCTCGCGTCGGAAGAACTCCAACTAATAGGGGAACCCCACGAGTGCAGGACCTTTCCCCTATAGGCACGGGCGCGCTACTCCACATGGACGGGTACTACCACGTGGTGAGCTGTCAGATGCACGTGGCCTGCAACCTGGGGACGCCCAACACACGATGCACCTGCGAGAACGAGTTTAACGCGTTTGGTGAGCGCAGATGCGCGCTGCCAAAGGCAAGGATCACGCACAGGTCGCAGTCCCGATGGGGCATCCTGTCGCTGTTCTGTGTAGGCGTCGCCCTCCCCCCGTTGGAGGACAGCAACTATGACCTTCAGGCCAGGTGCAGCATCTTCGGGCGGGAGGAGGTGAAGTACAGAGTCTACGTCACCAAAGAGGATGTCGGGAAACAAAATGGCGACCCGGCGGACACGACCATTCGGTACAGGGCGTGTTTAGAACCTGCTTAGGCTTAAAAAAACTTACGCCTTACCTTATATGGTGTCTGCACACAACGTCACGGCCGCCTTACATAATGATTGGTTGATCCTGGAAATTGCAATAGAATATGCCACCTTTTATGTGGCTATGGTTACATGTACAAATAGTCAAGTACAAAAAATAAAATTAAACACTTTTAATGATTCAGAACTTCCTGGTTTGAACAATCTAACATGGCGGACAATATGTCACAGTCACGTGAGTGTAAACATCCAATGGCATCAGAGACTGGGCAATATTTGAAAAAAGGGTGTATAGACGATTTGTGCGTTTCAAATGGCTTGTTGAATGTGTATGTAGATGCCGTCATTCTGTCCATGTGTATATAAAGTGTGACGGCATGTGAATGTGATATAACAACATTTGAGGCAATATCCTTAGAGTTGACACAATCTTTGATCACAATGGTTAGACCAAGAGATGTCTCAAAAAAATAACAGAGAAATATACTTAATTCTGACCATAGCAGTTGAAACATCTTCATGCCTTTTAATTTTAAAGTTACTTGGGTCACTGCTGAATATGACTGATGTAAGTTAAAGTAAAGAACTCACCACATTTTCCTATGAGAACGAGTCCGCTCCATATGCATCGTCCTCTGGCAGAAATATCGAGGACATTGCAGGCATAGGTCTGCTTTCCTGTCACCTGGCATTGTGTGTTATGATTATTTAGTGTGATGCTACTTCTATTTCGAATTCTATGAAGAGATGGATTTCTATACCACACCCAGTTATGTTTCCATGTTTAAAGATAATGTATAATAATGTTATGTGACCAATGTTACAGAGATATACTGGACAAATGACTTGAATTTGAATTTCTTGCATTTGGAATAACTTTAGCATTAGACTATAATCTGTTGTGATTCTTCTTGTGAGTATCAAGGTCGACATGCACTTCGCATTGACTTTAAGCCCCCTAGAAAGCCGCTAGGGGCCTATGATGGAACCTGGAACAAAAAGGGTACCGGTTTACCTTCGCAGAAGTTTGTTTTGGCTCAGTTTCTTCCTCTTCTTCTTCTCCAAACAAATAAGGTCAATGACCTGGACCAGACGTCTGCCACTGTGGTAACTGATACTGTAGCAACACCCTGTAGTGTTGGATTACATTGCACTTGTATGCAGCAGAATAGAGTTGGAGAGGATGCTCACCATGCATATGAATGTATTTGCCTTTGAGTAAGAATAAACCACCATGGAGTACTTTACGGTTAAAAGATGAAGGTAAACATTATGCATGCGCATTTGCTTGCTTATGTTACCTTTCTACGTCAGTGAAGGTTAGACATCCAGGTAATAAGATACGCCAAAAACAGTTATTCAAGCAACTGGATCTGATTTTGGAATTTTGTTACCTTTCTAGCATAACGTTTCCATTTCCTGTTCCTCATACCAGCACCTACTCGCCAAGCAGAGGTTGTGGGGGAATGATCGTTACCTTTTTATATATGGCAGTTTTTGTCGCTACCCCCATCGACCTTCTCTGGCTAATGGATACTGTCTGGCCAATTTGATACTGTCTTTTTTTGCCACCGAGAGGGATCTGCTTGGAGATAAACCAGCACGGAAAGCGATGACAATGATGATGATGATCAAGATCACATCAAACGCTAAAGGAAACCATCCATCAAAGTCTGCCAGAAATAGGTCGCTCGTTCTGCTAGAGGAGTCCTAGAGCGATCCAGTCGAATCCTGTCCTATCTCTTAGAGATACTCTATATCGATCAAGTACACACGTCACTATACGCCTGATCTGTCGTTCTGAAAACCCTTTTAATCTTTGATCTAGAGTGGCAGATTTAGGAGGTTCCGAAGGATGAAATATCGAACCAGAATTTTATTTTGTGTTGACCCAGTTCCCAACAATCGGTCATATCTTGAAGTAGAACATTCTGGAACTGCGAGAGGCCGCGGAAATGGATTTCGATTTCTGTTTTAGCTCTCTGAAGGTCCATTTGCATAGAAGTTGGCTATGTATACCCGTAAAACTACTCGGAATATTTGTAAGTACATACTTATATATGTCCTTTTTGAAGCCTGTGAAATAGCCCCCCCCACCCAAAGCTATGTGAGGCGTCTCTATATTTCTTGGTACCACCCATAAATAGCTAGAAACATCCTACGATACAAAATAAGCAGCCTTTTTCGTCACTGAAATAGCATTTTTCGTCTCACAGATATCAGTATGCTATAGGGTAGGATTGGTCTAACTTACTACATTTAAGAATGGCCATCAAATTGATTTTGACACTCCAGTTTTGTCGCTCTAAAATTGAGTTGGATGTCTTTAAAAAAAAGAAACACTAGAAGGAAAGTGTGAAGTTTTGTTCCACCGTCCTCCGAGGAGCGAACGATTCCCACGTGACCTTGGACAGGTGAGTTGGACAGGTGACCTTGGACAGGTGATGGCCTTGGACAGGTACATGAGTTGATAGCACCTTAGTTCCTTGTGCTAAGCAGAGAAAGCAGGATGTACCATTTTTAAAGTCTTTGGTATGACTGTCAGGGATCGAACTCACGAGCTAAGCGAATGCAAGGCGAGCCCTCTACCACTTAGCCATTGCATTGCACCGGTTCTTAAGGTACCTCATAAGGCCTCTCTTATTTGTTCTTTAACTTGCTGATCAGAAAGATCACCCTAAAACAGAGACTACCGAGGAAGGGTGTACATACACATACATACAGTTTCAGGGAGTGGATAAAATGAGATGTAATTTCCCCCTAGGCTTATGTTTCATGGTTTCTTCTTTGTACATTTTACTTTTAAAGTGTCATAGAACAGTGGTTTTAAATAGGTAAGGCTAGTCATTCATGTTTTTATGATCAGTATTTAAGTGATAAGAGTTTTTGCCTGGCTTGTCATCAGTAACAACAGTAAATCACATATGATTACAATAAAAGGCATTCATAATGTGTAGTTAATCAACGAATTTCTTTATTGGCTAGGAGTTGAAGCTTCGCAAATGATACTACAGGCATGTAAAATATGTGCTTTCTCAGTTCAAGCATCTCTTAGAAACTCTCCTGAAGATCTCTATTTAATACATATATCCAAACCACATCTGCTTCCATTGTGTGCTTCAACATAGGTCTTTCTCCTTTGTATACCACTTACTAAGCATAGATTGGATAGGATAAAACACTTGATAGGAAAAACAATGCATTACAGTGAAAGTTACACTTGAAATACACTTGAAATGCGAATATGTCATCAGATAGAATTGCAGTAGCAATACGTAGTATTTCTTCTAAACACCATTGTTTAAACATGTTACTGAACAGAGGACTGTTGAGTTTCAAAATTCTACATTGCAATGTCACAAGAAATAAATTAATCATTAAAATCACATTCCACTACAATCGCTAACAGCATGTAAAGTATAATACCTTGCGTTAAAGTAGTATATATTCATTAATATCACTACAGTAGAAGTATTTCGAGCACATCTAATTCTTACTTTCAGGTTACATGCTCAAATATATCAGTTTGAACAACATGTGTTTAAGAGTTTACTCCTTTAAGTTTTAAATTTACTAGAATTATACAAAATCATAGGACGCAATTATCAGCACATAGTACTTACCAAAAGTACATGCATGCTATCTTTACCCATGCCCTGTCTGATACATTGCACCATGTAAGCTTGTCGTGCAATAAAGTTATTCATATAAACCACTATAATCACTAACATCACTCACAACATGTAAAATGTAACACATTGCTTTAATAATTATTATACATATTACTATAATGCAAGTTTTTGAGAATTTTTTTTTGAAGTTACATGGGTAACTGACCGGTCACATATACTACTGGAATTTGAACAACATGTATTTTAGTAAAGTTTACTCATCACTAGAATAATTGTTTACATCAACAAGCATCAGTACATAGTACTTACCAACAGCAAATGCATTATACTTTTACAAATTTCCTACATTATTCATTACGTGGTTGCCTGTGCTAAACAATCGCCTTGTCTGACCTTTGGCTATTTCCATACTGCTTGCTCCCTGACTGTCTAATCATGATCACTGGTCATTGTCATAGACCGTTGGCTCATTTTTCTGTTTTTACACCTTCATACATAGGGTTTAGCTGTAAGGCAGCTAGCAATGCATCGCCTGATAGTAGTGGTAGGTTTGCAATATCATTGGATTGACTGGTGCATTGAGACTGACTATTGCCACTGGTCACTAAAGTAGCTGTGGTGGGTTCAGTGATGGCCTGAGACTGACCCTGCCCTGTCTGATCATCACCACTGGCCATTACAGTAGCTGTGGTGTTTGTGTTGGATTCAGTAATGGCCTGAGACTGACCCTGCCCTGTCTGATCATCACCACTGGCCACTACAGTAGCTGTGGTGTTTGTGTTGGATTCAGTGACCGTGGCTCATTTTTCTGTGTTTTTACACCTTCATACATAGGGTTTGGCTGTAAGGCAGCTAGCAATGCATCGCCTGATAGTAGTGCTAGATTTCTAATATCAATGGATCGAGTGGTGCCTTGAGCCTGACTATTGCCACTAGTCACTACAGTAGCTGTGGTGTTTGTGTTGGCTTCAGATATAGACTGACCCTGCCCTGTCTGATCATCACCACTGGCCACTACAGTAGCTGTGGTGTTTGTGTTGGATTCAGTGACCATTGGCTCATTTTTCTGTGTTTTTACACCTT